CAGGATCAGTCGGAAATGTAACATCCACTCTGTACATCCTAAGTACCCATCTTTTGGATGTGTAATTACACAAATCTTTCGCATTCTGACATTTATATTTGGTTGCCCTTAAAATAAGACTGATAACCTTAGGTTTACTCTATTGAGTCTTCAGTCTGAACTCAGGAGATGCATCCTCCTTGCAGTATCTCACAGCCTTCACACGCTGCAAAATATTTGTTTCAGGTTCGATTCACATAAAGGTTTCTGGTGTCAGCTCCTGGAAGAAGGAAAAACAAAGTGTCTTGGAAAGAGCAAAGGTAGAAAATACCCTCCTATGGATTCTGAGGTAAACCATTATGCTCATTGGCATTATACAGGGATTCAGTTGCCACATGTGGGACACCACACAAACAAAATCATAAGAAGGGAGAGAAGATAAAATTAAGTAGACATTAATTATTTGACTATCTTTCCATACAAATGAAGATCGCTGTTCCCTACAAATGAAGATAGCTGTGGAATGCATAGACTTTTTCAGATCTTGATTGTAAATGTGAAGAATTTAAAAAATTAAAAAAAACCCCAGCTCTTAAAACTTGTCACCTCTTAGTAAAATAAACTTGGCACACCTGAAATTCACTTGGAAACCTGTTCCTTTTACTTAAGTGACTTAAGTAGCAGGGGCTCCACAGTGCTTGTTTTTTCTTAGTCATGATAAGATACGTGTGTTTGTGTCTGGTCCCTTGGCTTTGAGAATAGTTAGACCATGACAAGCAATGCAGACTCTCACATAATCCAGTTTTAAGAAGGTTTCTGTTTCTATGAGTTTTATAGATGCCTCCCCCAGCAAATGCTCAAATGAAGAAATTTCCGTCAGATCAAATGCTGCAGCCTCTACCCAAGGGCAGTTTAGTCTCCTATTCTAGTTATAACTTCTATGTTTATTCTGTCCTGTATTCCTATTTCATTTAGCCTGACTAAAATGCATATAAAAACTTACAGTTTGAACAGCAGTATTAATGTGGCAAGTAAGCCAGGACTTCCTTCTCACAGTACTTAACTTAAAAGTAACTTTACATCAGTAGCATGATACTGATATGAAATCGCTAGATGAGAGGGCTTTTGGCCAGAGATGAGACAAGACTATGTTTGTTTATGGTTGTACTTTTCAACTCTAAATTCCTCTGAAAAACAGGTTACTAATTGATACATGCCTACATACAAAGATGTTTTAGAAGCTTTGGTTTCAGTCACACTTAAGTAAATTCAAAGTGACTGAGTGTGAATCTTAATTCACATGACTGTCTGAGAGTAGAATCAGATCCTTTGCTTTGACTTCAGTGTTCATTTTGAACAACCTTTGTTTCTCTTAAAATTACCTTTTATAGTTCAACTCCTAACTGAAGAGCTTAAATTTGCATGCAGTAGATAGCATAAAGCAATATAAATTGCTTTAAAGAAAGTAAAGTTTTGACACAGGTAAATTGAACTTCGAAACCTAGAATTCACAGTAACTGCAGTACAGCATTTTCTTAAATGAAAGTATTTAATTTTGTATCCCATCAGTGCAAGGCTTTTCTGTCAAGCTACTACAGAGATCACAACGTGGAACTGTCAAAACTCCTACACAAATTGGGACAACCCCTGCCATCATGGCTGAGACAGGAGCTACAGAAAGTAAGATAGCATTGAAACACAGCTTTTTGAAATCTCTGTTCCGCACTTCAGTCATCGTATCTAAAGTCTCCAGGAGCTACTAGAAGGTCTTGTAAAATATACCTCTTCAAAACAGAGTAAAAGATAGAAATTATTTCCATGTGCTGGCATGTGGATTGTGAAAATACATGTGTTTCTTAGAGTTCTGGTGGGCCAGATGTTTCTCATAAACGCTTCTGGGCCTGTGGATTTGTGGACCACTGTGCACGTATCTGGAAGTTATTTGCAACTGGTATAAGCTTCAGAGATACGTGACCTGTCCAATTTCATGGTAAATATATATATACATTTTTATATATCAGTTTAAAAGTATCGTGTCTCATGTAGGTTTTGTAGCCCATTGTTAGACCACTGACGGTTTTTCTTACTATTTGATTATTGTCTTGCACAAAATAAGAAAACTTAATGTAGCACAAAATGTCAAGTGTACTTCTGGATTAGAAGTACAGTTATCATATATGATATAGCTGTGCACAGCAGCAAAACACACAGAGCAAAATATGGAAGCCGCAGGCAAATGCAGTATAGAAACACACCCCCACCCCCCAAACCCCAAGAAAACATTATCTATGATTATAGCCTGTAACAACAAACCCTTAAAATGTGGTAAGGGCCTTTGACCACAATTACTATGTCTGATTTTGGACTGACTGAAATGGCAAAATACAGAATATAGCCATTATCTGTGCAGAAACTGAACGGGACATGTGAAGTCCAGTTCAGTTGGACTGCAGTATAATTCTCATAAAGTGTAAAGAATACCGTATAAAGCTGCAGTATAGTTCTTATGAGCAGTATTATACTTCCACAGTTGTGAAACAAACTGAAGCAGTGCAATGAATAGGCTTTACTCCTGGCCTCCACAAGCAGCCAGACACTGCCCTCTGGGCTTCAATTGGTGTGAATCACGCACTACTGCTGAAATTAATGAAAAACTCATAAAAAGCAGAAACGGATCCATACTTAGACTGTCCTAATTTGCACCACTATTTTTTCCTTAATTTATTTGCTTTCAGTCTCTGTGTTTTGTATATTCCAAGATCCCTGAACCTAATCAAAATCGTAGCATCTTTCAGTAACTTTCAGTTAACGTCAGCTGCAAAAATCATTCAGATATCCAGATGAAAATACTGGTTCTGGTTCCAGTTCCAGGTATTTTCAACATGTTTGCTATTAAACATAAGGAATAATCTGTAGGGGAAAAAAAATTCCAATATGTAGTCATGGTAGAAAATTACACTCTAATTGTGGGAGCCACAAATATCCAGCCTTATGTTTGTGTGATACATTTCAATGATACATCTCACAGTGCATCAGTTGAGATGTAAGATAAAGTCTAATTAGTAGTAAGAAAAAGTTGGGAAAGAAGATGAAAGAAAACTTCAGCTGAGGATGGCCTTACTGCTTCTCCACTGAATTTTGCCTCTGAGTGTTTCTCAAAGGCATGAAGAGGTAGTGAAAACGAAACAACTGCAGTACTTAATTCTATGCTTTTTACAGTAGCTCTATAACATTGTGATTTGGTTTAGGTTGAATAGTTAAAAATATGTATCAAATGGTGGGAAAACTTCATGTGTCTCAGTGCTGCTTTACAACATTTATGTAATCATATAATTTAACTTTCAAGGTAATAGAATGGAAACCAGTCTGCTATTCCCTAAGCAGAAAAGAGATGTGGAGATCCTTAGTGTACCTCTAACTGGTAATCTTTATTATTTATTGATTTTGTTTATGTAATACGTGGTTTTGGTAGGTCTGTAAAGAAAAAAATGTAGGCAAATTTGCTGTATATAGCAATATTCTTTACACAGCAAGGGAAAATGCATGATTAGTGATGAGGACCTACTAGAGCAGATGTTTTTTAATATTAACATCTTTATTATTTATTAGACAGAATAAGAGCTTTCATTTCACTTTAAATAGTCACTTTCATATGGATTTGTCCCAGAAGCTGACTTGTCGTGAAATACTTCTTATTTGATAAAAGAAACATTCTGGATTCTGAAGATCTGTAAAAGCAAATACTCTGCATGCTATGGACAGCTCATGCCTCATGCAAGCATCTACATGGATTTGATACAACAAAATTGAATAACTAGAAACTGGGGTTTTCATCCTGATACGATTTGTTTTACCCTTAATATAACATGATATAACTTCACTCAAACATTTTTTGA